ATCTGACTTATCATCTGATTTATCAGAATTTCTGAGTTTTAGTCTCTGCCAAAGAAGACTAGCATCCCTCAACTGTTGGCTTGACAACAATAACAGACACACTATGTGATTTAGCTCCTGTGTGTGTGTGTGTGCAAACCACAGACATACTTTCATATGTTTACTGATGCACTATTTACAGCAGTCAAAATATAGAAACAGCCTTGAGCTCCACCAACAACTGAATGGATAAAGAGAATGCAGTAATGTATACACAATGGAATTTTATTCAGCTGTAAAGAAGAAAAGAAGTTGTGGCATTTACAGAAAATGATGAAACTGGAGATTATTATATTAAGCAAAGTAAGCCATGTTTTCTCTCATAAAGTGTGTGCATGCATATGGTACCTCTTACCCTAATTCCTACATTAGAGAGGAATGAAATGTAATGGCCATTGTGGCAAAATTGGACTCAACGACTTTGGTGTTACAGATAAAAAACAAAAAAGATTTTTCCTCACCTAAGATGCCTGGGGCACCCTACCAACTGGTGGCAAGTACAAAGCATTGTATTCCAGCCCTCTAGATAGATAAAAGGGACATTTAGTTTGAAATCTACTGGGTTCTGTGGACTGAATAATTTCAGCATAGCAACATGCTTACCTTATCTGTGAGCCTGACTTTGAATGTAGTGGCATCTTGTTCTGTCAGTGGATTTGGAGTGATGACCACACCTTGGGGTATGGCTTCAGTGTGCGGATGTGACCCCTTATGAAGAGGAGGGTCTGGCTCATGCTCTCTTGGATTGTAGTCAGAGCATCCTGAAGGGCAGAGGCTGCATCTCCAGGAACAGGAAAACTGTGGTGGTTATTTACATCGTGTGAGTGCTCCACTAATAAATACCTGTTAATCCTTTCCCTGGTATTTGTAGACTTCCTTTAACCCACCTTCATTTGAGAGGCCAGACAAGTCTGTCCTATTTACTAGACAAAATGACTGCTCAGTTAGATCTTATTTTAAGCCTTATCAACCAGATTAGCTTGCCACTAATGAAGACCAGTTGGGCATCTGCTATTATTTCTACATAGCATTATTATTTTTGTTTTATTTGGTTTTGTTTTTGAGATAGGATTTCTCTGTGTAGCACTGGCTGTCCTGAAACTCACTTTGTAGACCAGGCTGGCCTGAAACTCACAGAGATCCACCTGTGTCCCAGGTTACAGGGATTAAAGGCATGCACCTCCAGTGCCTGACACAGCAGTATTATTAGTGGAGAGAAAAGCTCACCTTTAGTTACTCAGAAAGTCAGTGGGCTTCTTGGTCAGGTCCTATTGTAGGCATCAGGGACTCCACAGGAGCCACAGCAGCCATCTCACTGCTATGCAGGGGTTTTTGGTCAAAGAGGAAAGTACAACTCAGTAAAAACCAAAACAATATCTAATAATTAAAATGTGTGGTTCCGGTGGTTTGAAAAATGGCCCCAAAGGGAGTGGCACTATTAGGAGGTGTGGCCTTGCTGGAGGATGTGTCACTGTAGGTATGGACTTTGGGCTCCCTTTTGCTCAAGCTTCCCTCAGTGTGACTGTCAGTTTGACTTCCTGTTGCCTATAGGATGTAGCACTCTCAACTCCAGCACCATGTATGCCTTGCAGGCATCCAGGATCCCCATCATGATGATAATGGACAGAACCTGAAACTGTAATCAAATCCCTCAATCAAATGTTTTCCTTATAACAGCTGCATGGTCATGGTGCCTTTTCACAGCAATACCAACCCAAACTAAGACAGTGATCAAAGATGAATTTACAATAAACTGACCTTAGCTCAAGCTAAATGATGAGATTATCAAACACTGGAAATGAAGTGTTTTAGTATCAAGAGAATATACAAAGCTTAATTATAACACAGCTTCTTGGTCTTGGCATTAAATGTTCAATCCAATTCATCTTTAATAAATATATAACAGTTAGACAGCGACTTCTTGAAATATTCCATGGAATTCAGCTGTCTGTCAAAATGATTTAGAAAATCTGAAGTTGTTTCTTTTGTTCTGCCATGATCATTGGTTATTAATTGTACATTCACGAGGTTTAAAGAAAGCAGCAGTATTAATTGGACTTGTGGGGGACTTTATAGGATTGTGCAACAGTCAGAGGGGCTGATGAAAGGAGAGATTAATCCCCATGTAGTGCCAGGAGGGTGACTAATGAAATGACTTCTTGATGAGGCTGGAGCTCACAAAATGCTGATTCTAATTTTAGCAAAACAAAGCAGATCTGAATCTCGTGCCCTTTTTACTCAAGAGTGTTTAAAATTTTGTTGTACTAGAATTAGCAACTTTCTTCCATGAGAAGATCCCTTCTTATCCAGAATTTGATCATACATAAACAGATTAGCTTTAATATATGTAGACACAGGAGCCAGAATTGTCACTACTCAGCTCTCTTTATTTAGTATAAAAAGGAAAACCAACTGCATTATAAAGACATAGGAATTTTATTCTTTAGTACCACTTCTACACCATTAGAATTGTGAGCTTTTATAGTCATATTAATGTGAGTTAAATGGATCTGCATTGTGGTTTCTTTTTTCATTATAAATGCAAACATCCATCTACACCTACCTAACTGTGTGAATGCATTATTCAACTATTTGTAGCAATCTAGCTCTCTTGCCTTTCCTTCTAATACAGAAAGCATCTGAACATACCTCCTCCACTGAAGGATGTATTTGGGTTTGAATTGAGGATACTTTTCTGTGTGTCAATACACAGTTCTGCAGAAGGATTCTAGAAACAAAATGGAGAAAAGTAGAAACCTGGCTTTCCCTGTAAGCATCTCTTCCCCAAGATAAAAGACTCCCTCAGGTTTATTACTATCACAGCCCTGTAGACTGGTTGAGCACAGCTTGGGCTCTTTCTTAGGAGGAAGGGAACTCTGGGATCCCAGGCAGCAGCAATCCACACCAGCTGGACCAGGTGACCAAAACGGCTCTTGGCTGGGATTGGAAGACCAGTTTGCCATCTATTCATCAATAAATGGTCCTTAGGGTAGATTCTGACTTGGAGAAATTGGGAATGATGTGGCAACATATCCCCAAGAGAACTACATAGTCCTTGGGCTTTTGAAATCATGGCACATGGACTCCAAATGCAAATTGCCAAGAAATGGAAGCTGAGGTAGATTAGTTCTGGCCTGTATGCAACAAACCACCCCCAATCAAGAGTATTTCATATCCCAGTTTCACACAAACATACATACATCCTTGTTAACACATGCTTCATATATCATGTAGTGCACTCATTCAAGGTGTGCAATTCAATGCATTCTTTTTGTCATAGAGTTGCTTTAAATTTAGACAGCTGTGATGGTTGCATATCTGTCATTCTCTATATGAACATTGTCCCTTTTATTGTCACTTACCTTGAGTTATAAGCACCTATTCCTGTTCATTTCTAGATTTTTCTTGTCATACCAGATGAATGGAATCATTCAATACACATTCTTTTGTGACTTCGCATAATATTTTCAAGACTCATCTCTGCTGTATCATGCATTAATCCTTTCACTGTCAATGCATTGTATTTAGTCATCAACTGATGTCCTTCAAGTACCTTCTGCTTGGAAAAATTGGGAATGATGGCAGTGCTTATCCCTGAGAGAAACATAAGTGAAATCCACTTGGTTTTTACCTACAGGTGCAACTGCTGGATCTTATTGTGGATCTATGCTAAGCATTTTGAGAGTCTGCTAAGCTGTTTTTCCAAAAGAAGCTGTGTTATTACTATGAGTAATGCAAAGGGACTCATTCCACATGCTTTTCAGTTCACAATATTTTCTATCTTTTCTGTTGTACCTATCCTAGTATGTCTTTGTGATTTTGCTCATTATCCTAATAACTACTACTAATATTAGGTGCATTTGATGCACTTATTAATTATTTACATGTTTTCTTTGGGGGAATCCTTTGCTCATTTTCTTCTTTCAGCAAGCTGCTTATATGTTTGCTATCAAATATCTATAGTTTCCTATATTTTATGGACACTTGCCTTAGTACAGATATGATTTGCAGATATTTCCCTTTTTCTGGCTAACATTTTAGTTTCTCAATTATGTCTTTAGAATTATACAAGTTTCTAATTTTCATAAAATACAGTATTCTTTTTATGTAAACACTAGTGTTTTGTAGTTAAGAAACTGATGCCTTGTCAACTTTAAAAATATTTACCTTTGTGTTTTCCAGCATTAATATATTTTAATCTAAAGTTCCATTTTAAGTTTTTCTTTTTTTAATGTGGTGTGAGGAAATTCTATGGATATCAGTTGTCCCAGCAACATTTGTTGGAAATAATTTTTTCAGAGAATCACATGATTAAGCCTTAGCCACCCAAGTCTATCTCCCTTTCATGCACAGACAACTTCTTAGGAACCCTAATTGCACCTGTAAATACTTCTGCTGTAGGAAGATATAGGATCGCTGGAATGATATCCATCAAGACCCCAAATCCTCCTCAAAGTCAAGAGAGATACAGAACAGTTCATGCTGGCAGAGGGACACTTTGGAGGACTCTCAAAAATCTGCCTGTTGGAGTGATGTAATCAGTGTCTTCAGGCCTCAGCCAGAAACAAGCACAGCATTATCTCCCTTCCATTCTGGTTAAACATTTTCAGAGCTATCCTAAGTCCAACAGAAAGCCAAGGACTCTCTTCACTTTTACTAAGAGGCATGCCTAAGGGTTTACACCACTCCAAAGAGTACCTGTGCCAACCTGCCACAAACCGTGCCACCCAAAGAGCAGCCTTAGGTAAATTGTATTCCAGTGATCTTAAGAGTCAAGGTATATCTGAAAACTAAGAAGATAATTTCTAATAAAGAACAATCTAGAAGAGAACACAATAATTTTGCTAGCTTATAGACTAAGGAGGAACTGAAATATCAATTCCTATGGGAACTGGGCTGATACTGAGTTGTATGGTCATTAGATGCCCTGGTGTCCACACATTATATTGCTTCCTTTGTAGGTATAGATGTTCCATGGCCATCCTTAGATGATCCAAATGACACACAAGAGTAATTTCCTCAGAATCAAGAACACTCCTGGAAATAACTAGTACAACTGGAAAAGAAGGTCTCGAATCCACTGGTGAGAAAACACTTATAAACCCACCTTTATTCTCATGGGTCTATGACTCAAACCAATGCTGCCAACAACTCCACTCCTCCCAGCATAGGCAGAAAGTTAGAAGGCACGCTAGCAAGCACACAGACAAAACAACAGCCCCAGTGTGGAGAGAAAAAAGGAAACAAACATGGAGCAGACTTCAGAATTACCAAGCAGAGAACGCTGAGATGCTGCAGCACCCCATGTCCCTTCTCTGAAGTGCTCTGGGAAAGAAGTGTTTTGAAGTTTGGATCTATTTGGATTCTGGGGATACTTGCATTCATAAATAAAATATTTGGAGAATGAAAACCAAAACTCACAAAATTCAATTATGTGTCACATGAACCTCTGAGACACAGCCTTTAGGTCACCTTACACAGCCCTTTTCATATGATTGAGTTTTGATTGGCACCTATGATGTGAATGCTGGGGGCATTCCCACCCACGACAGAATTGTGTCAACACATAAAAGTTTCAGGTGATTTGGAGTTTTGAGTGAGGACGGTCCAATTTGCTGTGTTAAGAGCTAGTGAAAAGCCAGACAAAAGGCTAGGACAGATGGATAATTATGAACCAGAACTAACATTCTAAGGGAAAAACTTTAAAAACCCATATAAACTTGACCTTGTTATTTTTCAGATGACAAAAGGCACATTGAAAGAAGTTTTGACATGGTGTGGATCCCACCCTTCTAGAAAACTCCTACTATATCTGAAGAGAGAGCCTCTGACTGCAGGCCTAGTGAATGTCCTGGTGTCAATTTGCATGTTTAATAATGCACTCCCATTGTGGAAATGACTGTGATATTGCAGCTGAGCCCCAAACTCCACTAGGCAGTTAATCTGTGGATGAAAACTTAATCCATGTTGTAATGGCTTTTCCATTGGGTCCTCGGTACTATGTCCTCCAATGACCAACCGTTTTACATGCTGGGGAACAATGCTCTCCACTCAGCTTAACATACACCCTGAATTGCTATTAATTATCAAAGGTTAACCATGGTAAAATTTTTTGAAAAGAAGCAAACTGTCTCAAATAAAATCAGCTTGCCATTCATTTGGTTTGAAAGTAGAATTGTTTCACATTAATATTTGTTCCCAATCCATTTTAATAAATACCACCGGTAGGAACTGAGGCACCCTGGTTTTGATTTTCTTTCTCTGGTTGATTATAACTAAACTGAAGTGCTCATCCAGTAGTCATTCACCCTTCATTCCAAGCTCCTGTTAAATAGGACAGAGCTGTATAATGACCTCTAGCCAATGGGCAGTGGGAAGAAATAGCCTGGGTAGGTTTTCAGCACAAGCTGGAGCTCTGCAGTCTTCATGCACCTACACGTCTGTGTGGCAGAGCCCATGTCAGCAGCATCCCCAAGCTTCTGTGAAGAGAAGTGCACTTACCTCCTCTCCCTTGCGTGTGCAACCGCTCCGGATACAAGTCCTGAAAACCGGCTTCATTTGCTATCCTGCCGGCAAGAGTCCGCAGTCCTGAGGCAGTCACAGTACTCCCTTTTCTCACACTTTTTCCACTAGGAAGGAAGCAACAATGTAGTCTATTTCACTCGTTTTCACAGACTTGGTGGGAGTTAGTGAGCAGCTAGCTACTTTGTGAGTAAAATCTTTATTACCCCACAACTATGTATATGGACTGTACAGTTTCTATAGATAACTGTTTCTGGGAAATGACACCTTTTAAATGCATGAAAAGAGATGGCCTATAATTGTCCCAATATTGCACTAGCACCTATTAATCAGAATAATAAATTCTAGCTTAAACTAATTGTCCTCAAGGTGCTTTTAGTAGATAAAAAGGCTTCTGTTGGGAGTTGTTTATCTTCCCCTGCTCCTACTACCTCCCCACTGCGTTTCCAGTACTAAAGCAGAGCTCTGCACACACTAGGCAAGCTCTCTGCCACCCAGCTACCTCCCCACTCCTCCCTTCCCTTCCTCCGGTGACCCCCATGCTTGCTGTCTCCTGTCTCGCACACCCACACACACGTTTAACTTAGAAATAAAATAGCGAAGTTATTGCAATTATTAAGATAACAACAAAGAGGTGGTGATATTTCAGAATTTATAGTATCATTTTTTTCACTTTTTAATTAATTAATTTAGTGGATGAGTATGTACATGCAGCGGCAACTGTGACCAGAGGACAACTTTCAGGAATTGCTTCTCTCCTTGCACCTCATGGGTTCCAGGCTCTGAACTCATCCCTTTCGCTTGGGGACAAGTGCCTTTATCCACTAGGCTACCTTGCTCACCCACAGCACACGTTTTCGCCCAATTGTGAATGTGTTTAACTATCAGAGCAGGGGAAAACTGTAGAGACAGAATGTAGAGCAGACAAAGCAGACTCACAGCCCCTGTCCACCGAGTTCTTTAACTCCAAGGCTCTGAATATCACATAAAACTTTCACAAATGAGTGAAAGCTAAAAGCTGAAACTGTCTTCCGGAGTGACATTTTAAATGTCTTACTAATTATTTCTCACAGTAAGTTAAATGATTAAATTAGCAATAGTAAGCCACTTGTTGTATTCAAACTTTTTCTGGGGAGATGCAACACGATCTGCTCACCCAAGATAGGGAAACCCCTCGGCAGACCAAAGTAGAGATGCCACCAAAGTCCAACTTGGTGAACCAATGAGTTTTATTGGGGTTACTTACAGAAACAGAAATGACTCAAAGACAGCTGCATCACCAAGGCTCACGAAGGCTTACAAAGCTGGAACCTGGAGCACACTGCACAGCCTGCAGGCATCTCCACAGGTTGGAGAATGTGCTTTCCAAGCGACTCAGTTCGTCTTCCAGACAGCTCGGCTGGTTTCTGATTCTTCCAGACTCTGGCATGGTCTCAGAGTCTTCTCTGATTTCAGCTTCCTTGTCTGAGGGGAACTCTCAGATTTTCTTATTCCTTCTGGCAGGGAGGGACCTAGTGATTCTGGTCAGTTTCAGGGACTTCCTGAAGCTATTTTGAGTTGGTTCTTCTTGCTTAAGATGGAATATTTCAGTTTCTGAAGAAACTGTAACATAACACCACCTTTTGTTTTATCACTGTGATTCATCAATCTTAAAAACAAATTAATGTTTAATGAAGAAAATTGTAATTATCTTTTTACTACTAGACATAATTGCTTTTAAAGTTAAAATGAATAAGTACTTTACATACTGGACTAGAGTATATAGACACTAGTATATATGAGGTATTAAGCAGCATTTTAATTTGCTTAACTCTCCTACTTAAAGTGAGGATACAGACCACAAATTACATTGAACTCTATAGCTGGCATTATTAAAGTAACTGTTGTATGTTTAATACCCAACTAAAATGTCAAACACAGAGAGAACTTTCAAGACAAGATTAAGTACACTTTTTTACTTAAGTTAGAACTTTACTTTTATTTACTTCTTACTGGTTTAATTTTTAATTTGATATTGACGTTAAAGATATATAGCAAATACTAAGATTAATGGATGAAGTAGACACAAAAATTGATATGGGCTAGCAAGTAAATAATTTTGTCTGTCAATTAAATAATTGAAAGACAGAAAATAAGTAACATGGGTAAGAATAAAGTATATTTAGTTAGGAAATGATTTACTAAGTGACCACTGGCTGTGTGTGATTTTTTTTCCCAAGTGGAACATTCTAGAATAGCGAGGTATTCATTTCTTCTCTCCAATGCTACTGCATAGTCTTACATTGTAACACAAAAGAAAAAAAGGCCCAAGGAAAGATATTGAGTTCAAGCTTCAAGCTGAAGATTAGTAAAGCAAAGAAGCTCACCACTAGCTCTTACCTCTACCTCAGACTGTCTAGCTCCACAAATCCTCAGACTGCAGCCTCTCCTCATGTGACTGGAGATGAACTCTTTAAGACTTTGCTTCTTCTTTATAGTCCTCTCTCCACCCAGACATATCACTCCTGTCTCCACCTCCCTAGTGTTGCAATCACCTTTGTGTGAGCTGTTTCTCTTTAGAACTGGATCAATTTAGTATAGCTCAACATGGCCTTGAACTAACAGAGATCCATCTGCTTCTCTTGAGTCCTAGGATTAAAGGTGTGTGTCATCACTGCCTGACTCTATGGGTAACTAGTGTGGCTGCTAGGATTAAAGTTGTGTATCACTGCTGCCTGACCTCCATAGTTTATGGCTGGCTTTGCATTATGAACTCTCAGGCAAGCTTTATTAAATCATAAATAATATATCACCATATTATATGACTAACCACTTGAAATTCTTAAAATGAGAAATGGAGTTTATTATAGTCTCACTCAATTCCTCTTAAATTCCTTTGGAAGACTATGGAGATTGCTCAGATGGTAAAAAAAAAAGCACTTGCAACCCAAGTATTTAGACTTGTGTATGGACCCACAGCTCCCATGTGAAAGGCTAGGTGTAGTAATGCATGCCTAGAATCACAGCACTAGGTAGAAAGAGACAGGATTGTCCCTATGACTTGTTAGCCACCTAGTGTATCCATATTAATTCATTAAGAGACCCTGTCTCAAAAAAATAAGGAGAGTAATCAGGAAAGATACTCAACTTAATACTGACTTCTGACCTCCATAGACATACTCCCAACACATGTGCCCATATCTGCACACACTGTGTATACACATGAGTAAGAACACATAAATATGTACATGCGAAAACAATTTCAGTGAAGCAGTCACATCTACTTTGAGTGGCTATCCTTCCAAACATCACAACACCAGATGAGCTAGTGAGGCGTGAGGCAGAATTATAAGATCATATGTGGTTCAAAGGAATTTTATGAGCCATGTTAAGGCAATATGATTTTAACCTACAGACAAGTTGCATCAGTGGTGAAGCATGCCAAGAAAGACGCAATGGGACCATACTCCAAGCTGCCACTCGGAAGCTGCGTTTAGGACAGGTGGAGGGGTACATAGCCACAGACAACGTTAGAATCATACTGATGAAGAAGCATGGTGACTCTATGGTTGACAAAGACCTGAGGTCGAGGAATGTGGAGGAAGAGAGAAATATGATTGGATGAAAGACTAAGAAGTGTTATAAAGAAGTATCCATTGGTGAAGGAACTAGACCTGTATGTGGAGCAGAACAGAAGCCACCAGCACACACGGTCCCAGAAGAGCATGAAAGCTGCTTTATTATAGAGTGACAAAGATGCCATTAGGAGTTAGATGAACATATACCTGATGTGGGGAAATGGAATCTAGGACTACTTTGTTCAACCTTTAATTTATCAGCAGAAATTTTTATAGCAATTTGGTAATGTTTTACAGCTTCAAGGGAGCCAAGTTTAGCCAGATTGACTCATTATAATATACTACTAAATGGAATCAGGACCCAAAATTTGGTACTTACAAGTTTCACTTTTCATTTTTCATTAATCTTTTATTCATTTTGAGATGGGGGTCTCACTATGTAACTCTGGCTGGTCTGGAACTTATGTACATCAGGCTAACTTGAACTTGTGGAGCTCCACATGCTTCTACTTCTCAGGTGCTGGGACTAAAGGCATGAGCCACAACACCTGGCTTTTAGGTTTCACATATGAAGTATCCCAAGACTTTTGAGGCCATAATCTTTCACATAAACCCAAGGTGGGTAATTCTCAAGTGCTAGATAACATGAGTTTGTAAGAGTGAATTCTAGTGAAGGGTGACAGTCCTCACGAGACAGGTTTAGCTTAGTATCCTATGAACACCCTTTGATTCTCTGATGAAAAACTATTTGTTTTTATAATTTATCCTCCCTATCAATAACTTTACTGTTTCAAAACCATTATAGCAATTAAGTTAGAAATCATTCTAAGCCGGGCGTTGGTGGCGCACGCCTTTAATCCCAGCACTCGGGAGGCAGAGGCAGGCGGATCTCTGTGAGTTCGAGGCCAGCCTGGTCTACAAGAGCTAGTTCCAGGACAGCCTCCAAAGCCACAGAGAAACTCTGTCTCGAAAAACCAAAAAAAAAAAAAAAAGAAATCATTCTAGATTTCTAAAGATAGTAATCATAGTTCTGCTCAGTGTCC